GACTGTGTTTTATAAGGTGGTTTAATATAAGGTTACGTCTTCATTGTTAGAGGGAAGAGTGATTGTAATTTCGTAAGTATCTATTGATAAGTCTCTTTGATTTTCTTTAGTGAAAATAGAGAGGTTATAATCGATGACTATTGTAACTTATTTTTCCATATAACAGATATTCCGTCTTTAATCTCAGGGGGTAACATCACCCTGTGTCTGAACCATCAGCCCTGTATCGTGTCAAACTCGTAGTAAATTCAGTGTTTCTTACCGTGTAATACAACTCGCTGTAGTCGCCTCTTGTAACCTGCCACAGGAGGGAGAGGCCCCTAACAGCAGGGTACTTCACGTTATATAGTATGATAGTGTTGGTGTAGAGGAACTCCGTTGCGTCCGTCCGTCCGTTACCTGCAGGTGATCCCCGGCAGGAGGGTTTAGCCAGCCTCTGGGTCGTCCATGGGTGAAATGCTCCCTGGGAGGGGCTACAGTAGGGGCGTGGTCCCTATTGAGTCCTATTTCCGAGCCCCGACCAGTCAAAACACACTCCATATGCACCCCAAACACACACACACACACACTCTTCACCTCTCCTCCTTCTCGACACAAGAACCATGATCTCTAAACCCGTAGATCTTTACTCCTGTGAGGCCCGAGCAAGCAAATCCCACCTCAGTGTCTCCGAATCATAAGGTCGAGAACCGCTAACCAGGAGGAGGATCGGGGAACTTTTTATCGTAGGATGAGAGTCAGATGTGTGGGATTAGCGTCACAGCAATAGGATTCAATCCGTGTCCGAGTGAGGCGATCCTCATAGCTGGCTCGGCCCATTTGGAGGGATATCTTCCCTCTTGGTCACCAGGAATGTGTGTGTGTGTGTGTGTGTGTGTGTGTGTACAATGATATAATCAACATCAGTGGTGACCTCCAACATACAGTACTCTCAGTGGTCCAACAAGACGTGTCGGAGCTTCTTAAGACCTTCTACACGCTCTAAAACTTTATCATTTTAAGTAACAAATGTATACATGCTTTTGTCACCCGTCTCCTCACTTACTCACCCACTCACTCACTGACAGAGAATATTACCATGATTCACTCACTCACTCACTCACTCACAGAGAATCAAATGAATAACTAGTACGTGTTTATAACCTTCACTTTATAACGAAGATATTTTCACTCACTGTTAGGCAGACTTAGCAGTCCACCCATCCTCGTGGTGTTTGGGTTACCCGAGATTTCCAAAACCTATGAATGTGAAGGAAAGTCTCATAGGCGTGACGGCCCCTGTGGGAGTGTTTGGATGCAGTACACGAGGAGACAGCCTGACTGACACTCCACTCAACCATCTTAACATAAGAACATAAGAATGGAGGAAACTGCAGCGGGCCTATTGGCCCATACTGGGCAGTCCCGTTTACACCCATCCCCTATTGCTCATATAAGCATCCAACCTATGTTTGAAGCTATTCAGCGTATTCGAGTTAATGATGATATTTGGTAACTTGTTCCATTCATCCACTACTCTGTTTCCAAACCAGTGTTTACCTATTTCACGCCTAAATCTAAATTTGTCTAATTTAAAACCATTGTTACGAGTTCGCTCCTGGTTGGATAGTTTGAGTACCTTTGTAATGTCCCCTTTGTTTAGCCCTGACTTCCACTTATACACCTCTATCAGGTCGCCCTTCGCTCTACGTCTCTCGAGGGAGTGCAAATTAAGATGCTTTAACGGGTTTAACCTGTCTCTATACTCAAGGTTCCTAATGCCCGGGATTAGTCTTGTCATTCTCCTCTGAATTCTTTCCAATGATTCTATATCCATTCTGTAATACGGTGACCAGAACTGAACTGCGTAATCCAGGTGTGGTCTCACAAGAGCAAGATACAGTTTTAGGATGACCTCGCTAGTCTTGTAACTAACACTCCTTTGTATGAACCCAAGTACTTTATTAGCCTTGTTACGAGCAAAAACACATTGTTTTCTTGGCTTAAGGTTCCTACTTATCATTACTCCTAAACCTCTCTCGCAGTCGGATTTCTCTATGGCATCGTTGTTCATCTGGTATCTGGTTTCCCTGTTTACATCTCCTATACTGAGTAATTTACATTTGTCCACGTTGAATTTCATCTGCCATTTTTCAGACCATTCGAAAAATTTGTTTAGATCTTCCTGTAGTTTTGCCGAGTCCTCGTCAGATTTAATAACACGTCCTATTTTAGTGTCATCATCAAATTTACTTATGTTGCTGTCTATGCCGATATCTATGTCGTTTATGTATATAATAAATAATAATGGTCCAAGTACTGAGCCTTGGGGAACTCCACTTGTGACGTTGCTCCAATGGGACTTAGTGCCGTTAATGCTCACTTGCTGTTTCCTGCCCTGTAACCACGCCCTAATCCATTTAAGGATGTTACCTTTGATGCCATGAGCTTCTACCTTTCTAATTAGTCTTTCGTGGGGGACTCTGTCAAAGGCTTTGCTTAAGTCGAGATATACCACATCATAATTGTGCCCCTCGTCCACCGATTCGAAAATTGATGAAAAGAATGTTAATAGATTAGTTAGACAAGAACGTCCGCTTGTGAAGCCATGCTGGGAATCATTGATCAATCTGTGCTTCTCCATGTGATTTCGAATAGAGTTTGAAATGATTGCTTCCAGTAATTTGCCTACTAGTGATGTTAGACTGATTGGGCGGTAGTTAGAGGATAGTGATCTATCCCCCTTCTTGAAAATCGGTATTACATTCGCTATCCTCTTAGTTGTTGAGTTAGATACACAGTTATATCTAGGTGGAATAAGAGTTCCTTGGGATCAAACCATCAACACATAGAGGGCAAACAGTGTCCACTCTGCCCTCCACATCCAAACAAAATCGGTAGATTAGTGTAATGAGATAGATTAAGCATCAATCAAATTAGCTTCAACCTTGTCCATGAAACATTACCAAGGCAGAGAAAATGTCGAAATAATGATGCAATTAAATTAATGTAGTCACCGCTGTACACTGTCTTATGTCATCGTTTTCTTTAACTGTTGGAAAAGTTTATGAGACTGTTATTGCGTGAACCGTTACCATGGCAACACGTCGTCAGTTGTAGCTTTGTTTACACTTAAAGTTGTGTTGTAGTTATGATGTTATTGCTTCAACAACTAATGTCTTTAAGTGTGTTACTAGGATAGCAATTACACTAAACCATCAACACTAAATTATATAAAAGATACAACTCACTGTAACAAGTTTATTTTCGAGTTATTTGAGAGACAGACAGACAGACAGACAGGACCGACAACAAAAATCAGGCCCACAGCAGCAGGCGGGGTAAATAAACGTGGCAGAACATATGTCATGTATCAAGACAATGATCACTGTCCCTGTTATTTTATCAACACCTTTTGATATGTTAATTCATCGTCTCGTTTATGAATGATGACAGGAAGTGTATAAAATGACAGGTGTGGTAACAATACAGCCCAGGGCATTATCCTAAATAGATAATAATGTGTACAATGGGATATTCGAAGACAGAGGTGTATACAGAAGAAATGTACACACACACACACACCACTCAAGCACTATCTACCACCACCACCAACAACAACAACCACCAACCTCCACCACCACCACCAACAACAACAACCACCACCAACCTCCACCACCACCAACAACAACCATCTCCAACCTCCACCACCACCAACAACAACCATCTCCAACCTCCACCACCACAACCTATCAACCTCCATCAAGCACCACCAACCACCACCACAACCACCACCACAACAACAACAACAACAACAACCACCACCACCACCACCCCTATACCTCGTCGACCAATGGAAAATTATTTATCTACATACACACAGACAGACTATCAGCACGCGCAATATGTTACAGAAAATGTTGATGATGTAAAACTGGACGAACGATATAATTAAAGACAAGGGTTCGAGTTGCAGAACCTTTGACTGAAGCCTTTGATGTTTTGGTGCATGTGTGGCAGCATTATTTCTTCCCTCTGAATAGTTTTATGTTAAGTTGACTTCTGTGCGCGTGTGTCTGTGTGTCTGTGTACTGTATAAGTGTGTCTGTTTGAGTATGGGTATTAGTATGAGCGAGTGTGAGAGGAAGGGAGGAAGGAAGGAAGGACTAGACATGCAGTTATCCGGTAGAACGAGTTGCCACACTGCATGACTTAACACACACACACACACACACGTAATTCTCGGATCTGCATGACGATAATCACTAGCTGGCATCTCCTGCTGTTGGGTCGAGAATTCATATTTTTGTTGCGTGTGTGTGCGTCTTTGTGCGCGCGTAAACTGTATTTGTTCCTTAAAAGTGTATATATGAATATGTATTTTTGTAAGCGATATAACTTTGTATTGTGCATATGTACTTCTTATTATGTCCCATGTGTTGCATATTGTATGTATTATATGTATACAATAGCCTCAGTGTTGATGAATACTTGCGTCTTGCCTCTTTGTATACATAATTTTTAGCTGTATACAATTTTGCTTGCTTTAAGTCCATCTCAGCTTTGCATACACAATACTTAGAAACTTACTCCTCTTAGCTTTACGTACATTACATGTGCTTGACTTTGCTTTTCCTCTTAGCTTTATACATCTACAACTTTTTCTGATAGCTGTGTAAATTCCATTCATTCATCCGTGCTTGAGTTTGCTTTCCGTCTTAGCTTTGTACATATGTGCTTGAGTCTGTGAGTTGGGAATGAAATTGCATCTGTGTTTTGCGTGTTTGTGTCTGCTAATTCGTTTTATGCGTGCTTGTTTGTGAACCCCCGTTTCTGTGTGTGTGTGTGTGTGTGTGTGTGTGTGTATGAATATAAATATCTATATATACAGTACATGTATGAATATGTATCCATATTTATATGAGTAAATAAGGAGACAACTCAGTACCTTTGATCTATCTCTCACCCCCCCCCCTCCCCAGCCATAATAGGTATACACAGACTATACACACAACAAATGGTTTAAGTTATACAGCGTTTATTTACACATACATATGTTACAGTATATACAGAGATTAAGACATCCTTCGCTGTTAGATCAATTGAATATAATAAATAGAAAGTAAAAAATATATCAGAAAGATTCGTTCGCTGTTCGACTCAACAAACAGGTCAACTCGAAGCCTTGCTATTAAAAAAAAACTCGAAAAAAAAAATTCTATCAGGTAATTATATTAAAAGATTCAAAAAACTTAAAAAAAAAACCTGGGATTGGTAATACAAGGTACAAAATATTTATTTAATCTGGTGTCCGAGTAAGTGTTGATCTCACATAAAGGGAGGGAAGATGGAAGGAAGGAAGGAAGGAAGGATGAGAAGGGAGAGGGGGTTGATGAAGGACAGGACAGGAGTGGAGGGAAGAAAGGGATGAAAAACAAGATATTTGTAAGGAGGAGAGGAAGAGAAACAGGGAAGAAAATGGGGATGAGACGGTGGGAAGGGAAGGGAAATGGAAAGACCCCCAAAAATTCTCCTTCCCTCTGAAATCGTCTCGGAGGACCAAAATTGATCCAACATCGTCATTGAGGTTCAACAGAATGACTGGCACGAGTGAGGGAGTGGTTTGGAGGCGCTAAGGATTTTTGGGGGGTTGGCATGATTGGAGGGGGTGGGGGGTGATAGTTGAAGTGGTTGGAATGATTTGGGGTAAGGAGTTTGGAGGGGTTGATGGTTGAAGAGGTTGGAATGATTGGAGGAATTTGGAATGATTGGGGTTTGATGGTTGAAGGGGTTGAGGGTTGGGGTTGATATTCGCCTTATGAAACACACTAACACGTTCTAACCACAGGAGTACACGACTGATCAGGAGTTTATTGCACACAGACATTGATACAACATGCATTATTATGGGGGGAGTCAAGAGGAGAAGTGGTCACATAATCATTTACACGCTAACCATACGTCATAACGTTATAACAAAGAGGTCTTCTCGCCTCTTCTTTTAATGTCCGAACACCAAGGGCACCTTTGGGGGGGGGGGGTCATTTATATAACAGTGGCACCGCCTGGAGTCCTTAACTAGGGCACCTGGGGGTATAAATTGAGGTCACCATGTAAGGGTCAACAGAGGCATCACCACCCTGGCTTTAACTGGGGCACCAAGTGGGGTCAAATGCGTCGCCTGGAACTTGTTGAGGTCACGTGAGGTTATCTAGGTCACGTGTAGACAGCTGGGTCGCACATGTGGATTTTGCTGGGTTCACGTGAGGACAGCTGAGGTCACAAGGAGTTAACTGGTGTCACGTGAAGTCACCTGGAGCGCACGTGAGGTATGTTGGATCATACGGGGTCAGCTGGGATCACGTAAGGCCAGCTAGGGTCAGCTAGGGACCAGCTGGGAGACGCGTGGCAGACACAGCTATACCTCATATACTGGTGCACACACACACGCGAGGACGTCACCCTGGAATGTTAGGGATGGCCGCCTCAGCCGCGGAGGCGTGGCAGACGCGGTGTGGGGGTGTGGAGAGAGTTGTGGGGGGACGCTGTTTCGGGGTCCAGGAGAGGCTGACACGAGGAGGTCGGCTGGGGAAGGGAGAGGGGGTCGCCATGTGGGAGTTGTCCTGCAGGTATAGTACGCGGACTAAGGGGTGGCGCAGCCCCCTCAGGTAACAACAGACATATGCTTTAGCTTCTCATGATGGGAAGTCGCCGCTGTTATCACAAGACATTACAGTCCTTTCCCTCCACGCTGAGTTTTACCTCATAAGCGTGCCGGGAAGGCCAAGGAAAGGGGATGTGACCTCACAGGTCATGCGGGTGGCGCTTGCCGGAGCTCTGACAGGGAGCTTAGGTCATGATCTGATGATTCATCTGGTGGGCGGCCATGTCCCCGTAGTGGTTCCAGTAGGACATGTAGTGGGCGGGGTCCCACTGGTGATGTGGGGGCATCATGGCCTGGTCCCGTCGCTGCTCGCAGGCCGCCATAGCTTGGTTCATGGCCATCATCTCCTTGGACGGGTGGGCTGGGGGGGACACCATCATGTCACGAGGGGCGGTCATCATGGGGGACGTCATCTCTCCGTGGCTGGACACCGTGGGAGGCTGCGACTGTGGGCGATCGTCGGGTGGGGGAGAAAGTGGGCCGCCGTCAGGGCCTACGGACGGGGGCGGCTGATCATGACCGTGGTCCGTGGGCGTCGGGGAGCTGGGGGACTCGGGCCCATTGGAGACCATCTGCGACAGGTTGGCCCCCAAGTCGGCAGCGATCTCAGACGCGTCCACACCCGGCAGCTGGCCGTTCTGGGCCGCCTTGTACAGCTTCTTGTACTTGGACCGGCGGTTCTGGAACCAGATCTTAACCTGCAACATAAGACAGAGACACGTTAGTTCTGGACTGTCGGAAATAACGAACAAAATAGTGTACTGATAAATATGGGATAACTTGAATAATCTGCAACCCAGCTTCTTTCACCCGAAGATTAACCACTCTAACCTAACCTCGTCCCACCAAATAGTGTTTAGGTGTAATAAGCTAGGTTGCAGATTCTTCAGGTAATCCCAAGGAAGTAATGCCGATATATAACAATAATTTACAATAAAGATAAACAATATACATACATATTTGCCATCCTACATACGAGTATAAATACTGTATCTTGAAATATATGTTAATATATGAATGTATACAATAGTGTGGCTACCTTAGAAACATATAATACTGACCAGTCCTTCCATATATATATATATATATATATATATATCCTCCTCTCAGTAATCCCTATTGTGGATTTAGAGCTTCTGGTGCGCTGAGAACTTAAGCCGTACCCAGACACGCCCCAGGGTCGAGAGATTAGCGGCTGGGGACGCCCCTGGGGACATCTGGTGGACACCCAGTCTTCAGAGGGAAGAGTGGGGAGGAGGGTAGTCCTACACAGGGGAAGGGGGAGCAGAACTACCTGGAGAAGCTACCTGAGGCCCACAAGTCAGGTAGAGGAATATATAATGATGAAGCACTGGCCAGTTCCCACGTTACACTTGTGTGGCGCCGCTGTCAACGCTTCCTCAGGCGTTGGTCCTGGGGGCACTAACTGTTGTTTGTCCCGACGCTGCGCCGACCAGTTACACGCTCTGGGAACACTGCCGTCAACCCCCGTAATTCACTAGTTAGCTCAGCTGTCCCCACACGTGTCAACACCATGTATTGTGATTTTTATCTGTGAGGACCTAAGCGATCCCTTTATTTTACCATAAGACAGAAGTGATGTCAGCAGTGTAGGTACTTTATTAATACAGTATTATTATTATTACATTATTATTATTATTACAGCATTATCATTATTATATTATTATTATTATATTACTATTGTATTATTATTATTTCATTATTATTATTGCGTTATTATTATTATTACTATTATTATTGCTGCTATTATTATTATTTTTATTATTACATTATTATTATTATTATAGTATTATTATTTTATTATTATCGCCATCATTATTTACTGTACATTGCATCTCCAGGTATAAAGTAACACATCACTTGGCAGTCACTACACCTGACATCATCATCCAGGTGTTGTCACTTATCTACAAAGGACACAAACACCTCTCTTGTACTCAATTCTCTCGTGTGTATGCTCAGTATACATCTCTGTGTATACAACTCAGCGCTCTGTGTACTCAGTATTATTGTCTGTTGTTTGCTCAGCAGTTTAGTGTATGAGTGCTGAGGTTAAACCCCACTCAGCTTCCAGAAGAAAAGTTGTAAATGTGGTATAAATTTATTGTTGTTGTTATTAATATTTCCTTAAGACCGAAAGGAAAGAGGTGAAGGGGCTAAGGGAATGCTAAGGGTGTTAAATAGGGGGTAAGGGAGGGTGAGGGGGTAATGTGTGTGTGTGTGAGGTCGGGGTTGACTGTCACCCTGAACAATAAAGACGTGACAATATACTGAATTATCTATACATAAATGCCAATCCACTATACATTTATACATACACATATATGTATAATAAATCTTCCTAGTGACCGAAGACACACCTTTGAGCTTACCATCCATGATTAAATTGAAGGGTTTTTCTAAGAGGTAACATTAATGAGAGGGGATGGTGGAGGAACGGGAGTGAAGAGAGGGGAGGGGAGAGGGATGATGAGGAGAGGAGGGGTAGACAGGTGATTTGGAGCCATCAAACGCCTATACATTTTGGGCTACCTAACCTAACCTCACTGTACTTGCCTTTCTTGACCTGACTGATGGATGTTGTTTTGTCATGTGTGGTTGTATGCTGCCAATGACTGACTATTTAATACACCTCCACATGGTAACTTCCACATGTTATCCTACACACTCACGCCTCCACATGCCCCCCACACACCCACAGATCTCCACACACGTCAAAACAGGTAAACAAATGAGGGGCGTGTCTTCCCTCACCCCCCCAAAACGGGTCTGACTCAACGCCTCCTGTTTTAAGGGCTACCAAGTGCTAAGTCAAGATGGGACTAGTTGATACGTGGCGAGGGTGACAGGTCGGCCGATACCACCCGTGATACCAGCCCGATACAAGGGTAGATAGTGCGCTCGACACACTACCTGGCCTGGTACCCCGTCCCTCTCCTCCTGTCCCCCACCTGTAGGCGTGTGGCGGAGAGACCGGGGGAGAATAGTGTGTGTATGTGTGTGTGTGTACTAAAAATTCAATATACGTTAATACCTCTTGCGTATAATGACATATAAACCAGTACGCATTAAAACCAAATAATAATATAAAACAAACCACTCAAAACAAACCCACAATATCAATCACTCATGACCTAAATTACCATGAAAACCCCCACACATTTAAAACACCACATTTACCATTGACGACCAAGCAAAAAAAAAAAAAACCGCGTCACTATCATAAAACCTAAATAAAACCATTATAAACCCAACCGCGGCTCGAGATGCGACAACCCATGGTAGACAGTCAATAAAATAGTTACCCACTCACACCTTCCCCGTCCAGACGTCATAAATAAAGCCTGTTCTCACGACTCTGGCTGACTAGTGCGTAATCTCATCTTTATATCATACTTCCACAATAGGGAACTTCAAAGTGTAAACATAGCCCCTCCACACGACCACTTGGTGTACAGGGTGGTGGAGACGTGGTAGTGATTGTGGTGGTAGTGTTTTCCAGTGGTAGTTGTGGTGGTGAGTGCAGTGGTGGTGGTATAGGAATAGTAGTTACAACACTGGTGGTTGTAGTTATAGTAGGGTGGTGGTAGTAGTAATTGTGTGAGATCGTAAACAGGAAGGTCAGTGACGGACAGGTGAAGGGGGGGTATGGGCAGGTAGGAAGAATGGTGTGTGTGAGAGACAGATGAAGAAGAAACACCAAGAGGCCAAGGAAACGAGAATAAAGGAAGGGGAGAAGACTAACTCGATAAATAAGACACAGAAGAGTAATTACAAAGTTAACTACGACAGAAAATTGTTGTACTACTTGTTCACGGGGTAAAACAAGTTGTGTGTTATGGTACGGCAGTTATCTCCCTCTCTCTTTCTCTGTGTGTTTTGTGACAGGTGGGGGTGCAACACACACACAGACGAGTGAGCAGCGGCCAACCCACTCTGGTCTACAACGGAGGAGGAGAGAGAAAGTTTGCGATTTTCCCGCTTTCACGGTCGCTAACACGGCCAGCTGTGTTGAGGGTAACACACTGAGCAGGTATGTTGAGAGAGAGACCCTCAAGGCGGGCGGTCAGAGACGCAGTTCGGTCGCCTTTTGTTTCTGTGGCCATTTATCCTTCAGCGAGTCTGTCAGGCCCCGCCCCTCCCTCCGCCGAAACCAGACCTACCAACGTCCCACCGACCCTCCCTCACCAGACACACTCCGAGGACAAGACCTGTGCCTCCTACCCACTCACCTACCCCTGAACGTCCTATCCTGGGATTATGACGCAAACGAAGGAATTCCCTAGAGCTGTGGAGAGAGGTGTGGGCGCGTGAGGGAGGAGGAGGTGGTGTGTCTGGGTGTTGGTGGTGTTGAGACAGCGTATGCAGGTTTGCCACACTCTCGACGCGGGTTATTTCCTGCAGGCGGCAACGGGCGGCTAGGCCACGATCCGCTTCCCTTCTACAGCTGTACGTCAGGCATCTCTCTCACGTAAAAAAATATATATATCCCGTAAAGTTGCGACGAAACTCTGGTGCACATTTCCTGCGATCATCCAAGACTTACATAGCCTCAGTTGTGAAGAATATTACCGTCGACTGAAAACACTGATTTCACCGTCATCCCTCCCTCCCTCTGCAACTCTCCTAGGCACCTCAATCACGTAGGATAGTCCCTTAAGTTTACCAAGAGTTTCTGGTTAAAGGAATTCTAAAAAAAAAAAAAAATATCCCTAAACTTATGTAACATCAATTGAACCACCATAACTAATAGTCGAAAAATGTAATCACACACACACAGCGACTCCCAGGTATAGGTAACGCTAGACTTAACATCCTGTCTAGTGGTGAAGAACTACGTGTTATTTCATTGTAAAAGCTGGACTGGAGAGACACGAAATAAACCACGAAATAAAAGGTAGAACAGAGAGAATGAGTCGTAGCCGCGGGGTCACAGCCAGGGAGTGGAGGGGGCGGGGTTGGACCAAGGACCTGATAGCTATTTGCATACGCGGGCATTCTCTGCTCGGCCGGGAATTCTTGGTCCTCTGCAAGTCTTTTTAAACTCTTAAGCTACTGTTCCGCATATGAAATTAGGGAGGTGAGGCCTGGAAACACAGGGGCAGCAGCATATATTACCTGCCCTCCTTATACCTCCCTACACCCCACTACCTTACCTGCGTATAGGCCTGCTGAGGGAGGGAAAGGTAGTACCAGACTGTGTGTGTGTTATTCTCTGCTGGAATTCGTCCCCCAAATAGTCAATATATTTTTCATAGATAGTAAAGAAGTTTTGTATCGTTAAGTGCACTGAATAGTTCCGTATATCATGACACCTATAATATATAAAAAACAAATTTTCAGTTGACGTATATAACTAGACACACGACTCTATATAATTATGGAGAGGAGACGCTATTTTGGCTCATATATCACCGCTCTCTTGTGTGTACGTCGATAATGTTGATAAACTGAACCACTGCCAACACTACCCGACTCGTTGCTTCACTACACTTCACCGCTTCTTCACTGGTTTTCTCCTTTGCAGGTTCACTTCATGCTTCACTTCAATACCTCACTTTCAGGTTCCATGCCTCACTTCAAAGAATTTAATTCCCCGATTCGCAACTTCACTTCTTCTCTTCACTCCTTCATTGCATCTCTTCACTACCATCACTCCATCGCTTCACTCCTTCAT